AGCACACAAAGACTTATATTAATTATTAAATTGTTGGCTGATGGCTAGGGCTTCTTATGGCTGGATCTGTCTTAATTATTAACCCATTTCTATTAATCTAAGTATTTCCACATAGTCATATCTTACTGGAGAACACTGGTGCATCCTGTCTTCTTAGTGTCTACATGGCGTGACCCCCACCCCTGCCTCGTAGTTCCTTTCTGCCTACCTTTCCAAGAATTCTAGTCTCCTAGTCCTACCTATCTTCCTGACTCTATTGGCCAAACAGTGTTTTATTGCTCAACCTATAGGAGAAACGTATATACAGAAGGACATCCCCCATCAGACATCAGATTTGGAAACTGCTAATACTTTTGTTGAGGATGGTAGCATGTAGTTAATTTTATTTTAATCTTAAATGAGTCAACAGGATTTATTTGGGCACTTCTGAATATTATAGACTCATTATAGAAGAGCTGATTAGAACTAATTCCTGGAAAGTTCAAAATAAATCATTTGGGGTCTGAGAATCTAGCTCAGTCAGGAAGGTCCCTGTAGCATGAGTATGGGGACTTGGTATCACCAGATCCCAGGAGAAAGTTGTATGTGCTTATAGTTAGCCAGCCTTGCCCAATTGAGCCTTAGGTGACAGTGAGAGACCTTGTGTCAAAAAGCAAAGTGGGCCCATGAGGACTCAACCCTACACAAGGAATTATAGGCACCTAAGGAATGCTGGGAGCAGGAGAAATGTCCTTCCCCAGGAAAGAACACACCAATTGATTATCCATTATCAAATGGTCAGCCCTACAAACATACCTATGAGCAGTGTGTGTGTGTGTGTGTGTGTGTGTGTGTGTGTGTGTGTGTGTGTGTTTATGTGTGTTGGAATTGGCATGTTGACTGATCTGGTTGGCGTGCCCTTGTGCAGATGACTATAGCTACAGTGAATTTGTAAGTCACACCATTTCCAAATAGCAGCATGTCATAGCACTCTTGTCCATGCTTGGGCTCTTATATTCTTTCTATCCCCTCTTCCATGATGTTCCTTGAGCCTGGGGGAAATTAGTGTAGATGTGGGCTGAGCACTAAACAGACACTTATTCTGAACATTTCTACGACTTATGTGTCTGCATTAACTATCCACTGCAGTTTTGCCTGCTAAGGTTGAGAGCAAAAATAACCTATAGATATACACATAAATGTTTATAAGGCAGTTTGACAGGTCCATTTAGCAAAACAACAGTAGTAGGTCTCCCTTCCTTCCAGGCCCTATTACCTTCCAGCTATAGGCTTTCAATCAAGTTTACAATATCAGAAACGAATTCTGCCTTGTGTAGTAGGCCTCAAATCCAATCAGAGAGCAACAGATTTTGTTAGTATGTTTATTTAATGTATATCTCCAAATGATTCATCATCTGGTGTGGCCAGCATAACTGGTGATAGATAGTATCACCAAAAGGTGATTTCTAATAAACAAGTGTGATGTTTGAATCTCAGAGTACCTTAACATTTCTCAACATTTCTAGGTTAATGAAGTAGGAAAGGAGGGAGAGGGTCAAATGCTAACACAAACAGCAGCACAGTGCTCAATAAATAGTGATTTGATGTGATGTTAATGTGTTAGACACATCTTTCAAGTATTCCTTCAAATATGAGAACTACTTAATTCCAGAACATTCTCGCCAAGTATCTCCTGAAAATGCTGCTTTTCATCTCCATCTTCCTATTTCTGGATTGTTAGAGAATATGTTAGAGCTCCCTAGTGAACAAACTCCTGTGCTTTAACTGTGTCATATTTTAATGTCATCATTTACTATGTAGCATCCTGGATGAGTACTTTATTAATATTGTTCCAGTTACTGATTTATTTTTGTGTCTAGATTTTCCTTTAGTTATTTTTGCTTTAGTTATTACAATTTTTATTTTCAAAGTTTTGAAATATGCTATAAAATTTATCTGTTATTGTTTTTATCTAATTAATTATTGATTGTTTTAATATATATGCATATATGTGTATGTTACATTTTATCTAGAGGATTACATCTGATTATTTAGCTGTTGTGTTGGTTTATGTGGGTTCATGTGTTTTAGAGTTTTGTTTGTTTATGGTCACAACTTGAAATTACATTAATTGTCATCTTCTTCCTCCCATGTCCTTTTTTTTTCTCTTTATAAATCTTTGCTACAGAATTGTCAACTTCACTTCGGTCCACCTTCTTGCAATAGGTTTCATATTGGGAACTGGAAGCTTCAGAAACAGTGGACAAAGGAGTTTTGTTATATTTAGGCTTTTATTTGGAGGGTGTTTTGATCTAATCTCATCTTAGGTATGTTACCTATCTACAAACTTTTGTCTCTTTAGTCTTTCTATATATATGCCTTAGTTTTCAGAAAAAGTGGACAGAAACCTTTTTGAGCCACCTTTCAAGTGAGTTAGAAGACCTGATTGGTTTTAAACTACACATGCACGAAGTAGTTCTGTTTCTCATTGTCTCCAGAAGCCAAATTCCTATCCATTTCAGCCAACATCTGGAAGGTAGCAGATAGTGTCTTCATTTCTATTTGTAACTCTGTATTTGTTGAGTTTGTGATCATCAGGGTCTTAGCCATGGTAGCCATGTCTCTTGTTTTTCTATTAGTAGTGTCCATGAAGAGAAAGAACCTACAGTGTGCACTTGGTATGTGAACTCCTTAAACTCCAAAACTGTGACACCTCCTGACTCTGTCTCTCTTCACCAGGACTGTTCTTTCCTCATCTATGTCTTTTGGATAACTCTATGCCAACTTGTGATTCTTTCTCCTTCCTTTTGTATAAATTAATTGATAGGTGAGAGGTTTAATCACAGATGTCTATTTGTACTATTTTTAAAATCTTTTAAAACTATGTTATGAAATTTTCCATTGTCAAATTAATGTCAGCTCTTCCTCTATCATCTTTTTTCTATGTAATACTCTATTTGTTTACTTTAAAAAGGTAGTAATTATTTATATGTATTATGGGTGTTTGCTTCTTAGAGATCTATGCTCTAGTTGTACAACTTCTATGTAATTAGTAGTATTCTCACAGAATTGAAAGCACATAGGTAAATACTAGAATTTTAGTATTTCTTAGCCCAGGTATTAGGTGTTTATAAATCTGTTTTTTCCCTGTCTTTAAGAGTCTTTTACCTTAAAAGTCATGTTTTTAATTTATTTTACCAGAAAATTGAAAATACACTGTGAAATGTTAAATGGATGGAGATAAATATAAAATGCTGAATAAGAATTGACACATCTGATATATTACTTCTGGTAAAAGTCCAATGTTAAGACATTGAATGCTTTTTTGGCCACATGTATGAGGACACCTTTCCTAACATACTCATTCTTTTCCTTTACCCCAGTTACTAGAGACAGGGTTTCTCTATGGCTTTTGGAGGCTGTCCTTGAACTAGCTCTTGAAGACCAGGCTGGTCTCGAACTCACAGAGATCCTCCTGCCTCTGCCTCCCAAGTGCTGGGATTAAAGGTGTGCCCCACCAATGCCTGGCAATTGTTAATCTTTTTTAAATAACATTTTTATCCTTTGAAAGTTCCATGTATTTATACAATGTAGACTGATCATATCTGCCCCTACTGCCTCCTCCTTTTACTAACTCCTCACCTGCTTTCCCCCCCAAACTTTGTATTTTAACTTACTTTTTTTTTTTGAGACAGAGTTTCTCTGTGTAGCTTTGGAGCCTATCCTGGCACTCGCTCTGGAGACCAGGCTGGCCTCGAACCCAACAGAGATCCGCCTACCTCTGCCTCCCAAGTGCTGGGATTAAAGGCATGCACCACCAACGCCTGGCTTAACTTATTTTGTTTCTGTTTTTAACAACCCTTTGGGTTTATTTAATGTTGCACATATAAACATAGGTGTATCATCATTTACTGGGCCATGGCAACCTACCAGTGGCCATGTTTCCAGGGGAGAATGACTGTTCCTCATGGACTATCAGCTGCATGTAGCCCCTCTGATAGGTTTTGGACTTGGGGACTTCATGTGTCAGTTTGGCTGCCTTAATCTTGTGCATGTCTTGTTCATGTAACTACAGCTCCTGTGAGTAGATACATGCAACAGCCTTGTCATGCCTGGAAGTCAGCATTTTACAGTTCTCCCATAAGTGATCTGATATTTGCATTATTTCTACCTATTCACTGAACCTTAGATAATGGGGCATTGATATGAATGACCTGTCCACAGTTGAGCACTCATGTTTATTTATGTTCAGTACATTGGTCAGTGTGTCACTGTATTAGCCACTACCTACTGACAGAAGAAGCTTCTCTGACTAAAGTTGAGCAACAAAAATATGAGTATAAATATGAGTATTTAGAATTTAGGTTGACATCATGATCATATAGCAAAACAACAGTAAATTCCCCCAGGACAGATTATTTCCCAAGTCATGGGCTTTTGACCATGTTTGTACTACCAGGCAAAAATTCCCTCATGTGAAGCAGGTAACCCCATATAATCTTCATGCCACTTTTACCTAGACCTTGTGGACACATCTTGGTCAGGATTGTAGCATGTAGTGTCCAATACTGGGTAAGACCATTGAATAGTTTTTATCATTGATTTCTATAAAATGTTTATATTAATAAGATCAGTTTTAGTAATTTATTAAATTCTTGAAATTATGATCAAAGTTAAATTATGTTTTACACATTGATTATCATCTATCTATACCCAGAAACTAAACAGTTTCTTGAAAGTGAAATTGTCACAGTTGTCAGCAGTGGTTAAGTTGCTGTCACTTACCATATGTTTTCTGATTAATTCTGAGAGAGCTAATGACACAAGATAATTTAATTCTTTATATTTTGAAATTATGTTTGTTACCAGCATGTGGACATTTTAAAGGCTTAATTATGAGTTGAGACAGTGGTAGAAACTCACTTGGCATGTATAACCTTCTGAGAAACAATACAAGAGTAACAGTAATCATTGGAATGCCTAGGAATTATGACTAATAAACTCTATTTTTCTGTTTCTAGAGAAAAACAGAAATCTGAAGCCAAAGACAGAAAAGTTCTGGAAATTTTACAAGTCAAGGATGTTAAAATACAAGAACTGGAGCAGGTTGTATTCTAATGAGAATATCAAACATTGTATTTGCTTAAGGTTGCATATCTCTAAAATTATTAGAAGTTTGTATTCCAATATACATTAAGAATATCAAAGTCTCTGCATGAAAGCATTGTTTTGAAATCACTGTAGTCAATGTTTTATTATTGTACCATGTTCTTAACCCTACTGTGTCTTCTAAATTGATTAGGTGTAAATCTCATTAAAATGTTTAACAGGCCCTTGGGATTTTAAAGTAGTATTTATTATTCATTGTCTTATTGTATTTTTATTTTTGCTATATTATTAGTCACATGTTTCTGATCCATACATTTTACATGGTTTCAGTTATAGAAAAGATTCATGATACTTCATACTATTCTACTTTATCTTTTGAAAATTTGCATTGTTGAAAATTTGCACAAATATTTGCAGTCTTATCTTTATACATAACTTAAATTACAGAATTAAAAATGTATAGTTTGCATATATTTCTATAATCAGAATATTATTACCACAAAAATGTGTGTGCTCTCCTTAGATCACAAAATTCTATCCAGTGAGCCCGTGGCTTTCTTATAGACTTCCAGTATAGATTTACAGATCAGAGTAAATATTCCCATACAAAAATAGAAGAACGGGGGCATAGAAAGTTCAAAAGCAAGACCAAAGCCAGTAGAATAAACAAGAAGTCCTAGAGCTCCATTTTTAGCACTTGGGGTTTATGATCTTGTCTCTAAAGGTCTTGGGCAAAGCTGCCTCTGTATCCTTGTCATTTTCTACCCACATGGGCTCTCTTCAGCATTGGCTCCACTCTTTTCAACTTTCCCTGGCAGATAGTGTGCATTTCTGGCATCTCTTCCTTCTTTAGGCCTACACAGAGTTTTTGCTTTTACTCTGTCAGCATCATGCATAGTTCTCTCCAGGCTGTTTGCAGGGATACTGACATCACTATACAAAGCTTGGCTTCCTAATCCTTCCTTGAAAATCTGGGTGAGATTACTCCAAGATATATATATGAGCAGTGCTAGGCATGTCCTCAGCTTAAGCAACAGCTGTGCCTCCTTACATCATGGATACAGCAGCCTCTGCACACCTGCAAGCCTGGTAATGCAGGGAAACACTTCCTTAGGTGATCCTGTACAAGTAGACTGCCACAGGGTTCCTATCCTGAATGCAAGTGCTTTAAGTGAGTTAAAACCTCTACATACCTGATCCTGAAAGTGGTGGAGTTCAGCTTATTTCTGAGCTAATACCATCTTTCACCTTGTCTAGTTGCAACAAACATGGGCTTTTAAAACTCTGATGTCTTTAGTATGCACAGGTTTCTTGGCCCCATCTTTATCCATGCTCATTTTATGGACAAACTGTAATTCTTCAAATCCTTGTGCTCTCAAATCTTTTTGTAAGCCTGACTATGTGCATCTATTAGTAATCATGCTGCTATCTCTATGCTGGGTGGCTTTGGAATTTACTCCATCAGATTAATTAGTCTATCATTTTTTAAATTTAGCTTCTCATAAAGTTTCAGGACCCAGTCAAGCTACAAATTCTTTCTGAGAATGCATTATATATCCTCTTTGTTCGAATTCCCATTTGAGTCCTCTTTTTCATGACATGTCACATGTACTGTCCATTTTGATCTGAGTTCTTGCCCAAATAGCTTACAACATTGTAGGTCTTCTGTAGTCTTGTTGTAAGACCCGGTTTTTCATAGGAGAATACAACACACATATCTACTCACCTCAGATAGGGAGCCCATGACAGACCAGAGTATTGATACCACCAAAGTCCAACTTAGTCAACTAATGAGTTTTGTTGTGATTACTTATTAGGAGTATAGGCAAGGGGTTACTTACAGGAACAGATGTGGCTCAAAGACAGCTCTATCACCAAAGCCTACCCAGCATGTGCAACATCTCACAAAACCTGGAATCAGGGAGAACATTGTACACCCTGCAGGCTGCTGAGCATGTTGGAGGGTGTTCTTTTCAGGTGACTCAGTTGGTCTTCTAGGAAGGTTGGCAAATGTTCCCATTTCTTCCTGTTAGGGTCCTCAAGATGTTCCATAAAGACCACTGGTCACATATGCAATCAAGCAAGAACATTTGTTAAAATTCCAACATGTTAGGGTGGCACATGAGGAGGGCCAGAGAAGCCTGCCACAGGGTCCTTATTATTAAGGTTACCAGGGAGGAGAGGTTAGTACTGGGGCTGATTGGTGGGTGGCTCTAGTGGTTAGAGACTTTCCAGCAACAGGTTAGGGAAAGTTGTTTTTATCAGGAGACCATGGTTGTCTGCTGAGCTAGCAGAAGACTGTGGTCATCTGCTGAGCTGGCAGAAGACTAAGGGGGTGCCTATTGATTGGTTGCCCCTGAGTTGTGGTTTTCCTCAACAACTGTTTGCTTAGATCCAGCCACCTCCAGGAAGCTAAACTAAGGCCTGGTCCCTGGCAGGGGCTATTAGAAACCTGTCATGGCTCTGGTCTGTTTACTTGACCCTCTCACTTCCAGGCTGCTCTTCTGTCTCTGTTTCTTGTTCGAAGTTTGTCTGAGTTTGTCTTCTCTGCAACTTGGCTTTTTAAAGAGTGATACTCAAAAGTCTTTGTTTCCTCTTGGGGTGGATAGGCCCTAATGAATTCGGTCAATTTTAGCGACTTCCTGAACTTACTTTGAGTTGCTAACTTTCTGTCTTAAGGAGCTTCCCTGCAGGATGGAGTGTTTCGGTGTAGGAAGGAACTACTACATAACAAGTCTATGTCTCCATCGCAGTAGACAGTTTGTCAGTCTCATAGTAGTTTACATCGACACACTTTTCCAGATTTCTCCCACAGACTGGTTCCAACTGGTTCTGCCATGTGGCCATAGCAATGATTCTACTCTTGGAACCTATTTCCTATAATAGCTTTCTTGTTATTTTAACAAACACTTGACTGAGACAAGAAGGAAGGATTCATCTTGGCTCACATTTTTTGAAGTTTTGGCCCATTTTGACAAGGGGTGTGTGTAGGACACATACCTTGTGCTGACCAGGAGGTTGAGAGATGTCAGTGCTGGCTCCTTTCTTTGTTTGTCCTCTTTTGTTCCATCTGGGTCCCCACTTTCAGGGTGGTTCCTTCACCTCCTAGGTACTACTCCATCCAATCAACTTGATAATTAGGATTAACATATACTGTTAAAATTACACTGGCTTTCATAAATGACAAAATATTTCCTACTTACCTAAGAGACACTTCTATTGGTCAGTTCATTATGGGCTAGCAAGTGTGAATTCTCTGTGAATTCAGTTTCTCAATTGAATTAAAAAGGTAAGAATATTTTATGTATCTATTTATTTTTTCTTTTTGAGGCATACCTCCTTTTTGTTTCTATTTAAAACTTGGTATGTGTCCCTTCTCTCCTGGCATCAGAATGAACTATAATCATCCTGTGACAGAATGGCATGGCTGTTTTAGGGAAAATTCATGAAAGTATGGATCTCGTCTCCCCATTGATATCTGGACCCTTCTGGAACTTTGAAGTCTTGGACTTGCTCACATGGTTGAGTAATTCCTTCTTGATAGATTAGGCTCTTCTGCCTCCTCCCCTAGTGTTGTGAACTCTCAGCCCTCATTTCTTAACCAGCCGTCTGTAATGTCAACCATCAGTATTACCAGTTCCTACTGCTACTAGTTCAGCTAATGTTACTGCTCATTTCTGGATTGAAATAGTGAAAAGGCAGAGCAAAACCATTACACTAAGAGTTTCTTTGGGCTGCTTCTACAGTGTGGAGGAAAGTATATAAGGCGGAGTTTTCCCAGACTGACTCAGTGAGGACATGAGGATTTAAGCTTATGTAGGCAAAAGGTAAAGTATGTAGGCTGGTAAAGGCCAAAGTTCATTGTTGACTGAAGAGGAATTTCTCCACCTATCCTGATCATTATTTGCATGTAGCACCAGGTTTCTCACTTGACACCACTATGTCCATGCCTTTTGGGTCCAATGAATGATGATTGGCAGACGGTGGAGAAACTCCATTGAGTCAGGAAGGAAGCTGGTGATAGCACATATGGCAGCACTAGAAGCATCAGCCTCTAGTGCTGAATGGGTTTTTGTGGAAGCAGCAAGTGTGAAGACAACTAAAGACAATGAATGGTACACACCTTGGCTGCTGCTGAAGAAGTAATGGTGGTCAAAGGGCAGACACAGCATTAGGGGCAGTGGTGTTGCTGCAGCTACAGAATTGATAGGTGTGTATCCTTCCACCTGCTACCACATTTAAATTCCAGTATCGACAGACCAGTGTGGCTGCCTGCCTCAACCTGGGACAGAGGGTCATGTGTGGACTGCATGTGTGTCCACTTAGGCTTCAGAAAATCAGCAACAAAACTAATTCATGTCCAATAAAAATAAATTTAAAAGTAAATTCTCATGAAAACCGGCTAATCAACAAATAAGGAGAAAAGAAGCTGTCCAAACAAACAAAAGAACTTGCCAGCTGAGGGGAGGGCTGTTCTGTCTCAGAACTGTAGATATGTTACTGCTGATTATAAAATAAGTTATATTGTGAAAACTTTCTTCTTTATTATAGAAAATGACATGATTTCTGATAACCTAGTATACTTGTTAATCAAATGTTGCTCTTTAGCATTCTCTCTCTCCTCTCTCTCTCTCTCCCTCTCTCTCTCTCTCTCTCTCTCTCTCTCTCTCTCTCTCACACACACACACACACACCCTTCTAGGAAGCATAGAAACAAATGTTGGTTTTCAGTTGTACTTAGCTTTCTTACTTCTTCCTCTCTTTTCTTTATCATTGTTTTGGTTGTAGTGATTTCATTATTTCTCTGTATGTTGTTAGAGTTCTTATTTCCATTCTGAAAGTAGTTTGTAATTAATAATAAATCAGCTGTACTTCAGTACTGCCTAGTAGGGTTTTAGGTTGTATGCTTTCCCTAATCCATACTTACTCTATAGGCTTCTCTTGAACATGATTTAAATTATTCATTTCTTGGCTTGTCCATAATAAATTATTTGTTTCAGACATACTTTGTCTTGTTGCCCTTTATGCTTTATGGTTCCTCTGAGTTCTGTTTGCTCTTTTAGTATGAACTCATGTCATACTATTATAAATTTACTGTACCTAGAAAGATTTGCTGAAAAAGTATCATAAAGCTAAATTTTAAAATTAATGTTACTGTATCTATCTGTACTTTCATTATTTAAATTAGATTTTTAATTAGAAAAACATGCTTAATTTTTTATAAGTACAAAAGTTGAGAGTTTATCAACTTTCTGTCAGAAATTCTTCTTTGTGTAATAGTTATGATTATACAGTAGAATATTACTTGTCCAACATTATCAGAATATGATAGTTTGGGCTAGCAAATAGCTAACCTTACTTCCTGTGTTTATTTACAAATGATGTCTATGTCTGTTTTAACATCTTACTATTGCATACAAGTTAAATAGTAGCTATTTAACTACTATTTATGAACTTGCCCCTGTATCCTTTATATTGTCAGTGCATGGTAATGTTTTACTAAGCCATGTGGCTAAACTTAGATAAGAATTATGGGTTAATTTAAGTTGAAAGAATTTGTTAGTAATAAGTCTGAGCATAGGCCAAACAGTTTATAATTAGTATAAGCCTCTGTGTGTTTATTTGAGACTGAATGGCTACAGGACAGGGCAGGACAGAAACTTCTGTCTACACATATATGAATTTGCCCCTTGTGTCATTCTTGTTGTCAGTGCCTGGTCATGTTCAGCTCTCTAGAATGGGAAACCCTTGGTGTGCATCCCTTTTGGGATTTGAACCTATTCCAGAATAGGTGAGAGATACTCTGATTATTTTTTTTACTTTTTTGAAGGATAGGCTTATAGATGTTTTTATTTCTGAAGAGATTTATTGTTTATATCTTTGAATTTATAATTACTATGAGTATGGGTTGTTTTTGCTAAGAGTTTGTACACATCATTGTTACTTTCTATTTTGTTTCATTCTCCCCTAACACTTGATTTGATGACTAGTCAATCTAATGAACCATTCTTAGATTATACTCTTGTTGCTAAAATTCCTTCCTGTGGGAGGCATAAGCTATGTCTACTCCTCTTCCTAAAGTCTTAATGATAAATTGAAGCACAGTTCAACTTAAGTTCATTTTGGGGAGCCTATGAATTTGGGGGGCTTCCTTATAGAGCCTAGGTAAGGGGTTACCTACAAGGGTGTAGGTGTTCCTCCCCAAAAGGCTACACCTTGAAAGCTTTTGCCTAGCAAACCTGATGGCCTTTACATTGCCACACAGATGGAGCCCCCTCTTCTAGTCTTCCCTGGCCTGTATACCTCAGCTCCTTCATGAGGTTATGTGCAATCAAGGCAAAGTTTTGTATTAAAAAGTAATAGGAGGGCCTCATAACCTTCCCCATCCCTTCACTGGGGTTTATAGAGACAGCCAACCAGCCCAACTGGACTAATCATTTTGTAAATGGACTCAGATGAAAACTCCAATATGGCAGTTCCTAGGCTTAGAGGATAGTCACCCACAACTCCCTGGGCATGGAGGATAGTCACTTATAACTCTATAGTATGAAAAAACTCTACTTAACAAGTAATATTCACTCATGTATCCGGAGACATGATTAAAAGTGTTATAACTGCATTGTCTGTATACATCTTTCATTAAAGAGGACAGCTGAACTATATAGTGAGAAGAAATGGATAATATCATAGTGAGTTCATAATGGAGCCATGTTTTCCACCAGTGTGAATTGATTACAATTATATCTACCCATATGGAAGAATTTGGGAGAAAATACTGAACAAAAATAGCAAGATACAAAACATGTATAGTATTATTTAAATATTTAATGTAAATAATTTTAAAAGTGAAGCAAACTGTATAACATTAAGTAGGAATGTGTTTTTTAAACTGTTGCAAAGAGAAGAAAACAAGATGTATCCTTCCAGTAGGGCTGTTATCTCTGTAGTAATTGGGCAGGGTTGGGGTGTAGGGCAATGGTTAGAAGATGAGGGGACCTAGAGAGACAAATCATGGCAACATTGGGATATTTAGTTGGGTGGGTATGTAGAGTGCTTCTGCGTTTCTTTTTCCTCATTTTAATCCAATTTCCTACGTTAGTTTTAGATGTCTTCAGTATATAAAATACTTCTAGTAGAAATAAAATAAAACCAACATTTAACAATACAGCCTTTTATTTTATTTTTTCTTTTCACTTGATCACAATGTTGTTTTTAACCCATTCCTCATATTTAACTGCCATTCATTTAACCCTTAAATCTTGCTCCAGTTTTCATATATCCTATAGTCTTTTGGAGAGGACTTAATAAGGAATAGATACTAAAATATAAAATAAATATATATTCAGTGATTTGAGCTTCACTGTTATACCAGATGTAGAGTAAAGGTTAGTTTCTACTGAAGTTTTTATTTAAAAAGAAAAACAGAGCCAGATGTTGGGGTATATAGAACTGTAATTTTTAATATTGGAAGTCTGAGGAAAGAAATGCCATGAGTTTGAGGCCACTGTGGCCTATGTAGTAAGTTCCATGCCAGCTAGGGCTAGAATGAGACTCTGCCTGAGACAGCCAACCAACCATGTAAATATAAGTAAATCAAACAACAGCAAAACCCCAGTATTTTTATTCTGTCCTGTCTGCTTCTTGGTTTCAGGTAAATGCTGACACTATTGGATCTGACTGGTAGGCTTCAAATAAACTGAACTTCAAATTGAAGTTCAGTCTTCTATTCACCAGTTAGGTATAGAATAGATATCTAGCTAGTGTGAATAATATTTAACTATGGTTATTATAATATTAGTATTCGGTCTGTGGAATAACATACCTTGGTACCCAACTTTGCCCTGTTTATTTTTGAAATGATTCATTCATTCACAAAACCACAGTTGTTTTTCTAGAACTGTTTTCTAAATATCAACCAATAAGAGAATAATTATGCCTAACTTTAACTGTTAACTGTTCATTTTCCTAGAATTTTAAATCACATTTTGGCATCTTTTTCTTTCAGTACACTTAAACGTTTGCTTTCAAAATATGGTTTAGTATTGACTATTAAGTTTTAATATATTTTTCACCTTAAACTAATAAATAGGCATTATCCTTGCACTTTATAGGTGAAAGCCCAAGGGAGTGGGGATGTAAGAGAGCTGTGGTGTCACAGCTGACACTAACAACTAAGACATAAAGCTTATGAAATAAGCTGTGTTTTTCTTAGACAAGCCAGCTTACAATTTATTTAAATCTTTTTTACAGACCGAATCAGTACTAAATCAGGAAATAAATGACCTTGTAAAACAGAAGACTAAGGTTGATGAAGAAAATGCCTTCTTGAGGAAAGAATTCGGTGATTTACAGAAGAAATTTAAAGATAAAAGCCAAGAAGTTAAGGTGTGTTGACTTGTGCATGGCTTTACAGTCCCTTTGCTTTGAAGTCCCCCTTGAAGTTTTGCTAGCCCTTTTGGCACAGAAAGTGACAGGCTTGCAGGAAAATTGCCTTAGGCCCTGCTGTTCCACACAGTTTTCTCAAATGCAAAAACTCTGATAAAGATGCTTTAAAGCGAAGACGCAGAGCTTTATAACTTACAGATAAATAGTTAATGATGGAAATGGAGCTAAGAAAGTAGGAGTGTGAATATGTGGCTTCTTGTAATTAGATTCTGATGGGACTGGCATTATTAATTGATAAAACCCAGGTCTGGGAGGATATGTCTGTGTGAGTCTCAAAAATAGCTGGGGACAGCATCAAAGGCAGCTTGATCAATTAATGGGCTCTTTGCAAATGTGTACTCATCAAAGCTGTCATCCAGTGAAAAAATATGACCCATCCACCTGCATGAAAAGAGGCCAATAAAGTACACAGGTGACCTTGGCCATCAAATATAGAAGAAGCTTCTGTGAGGATGAAACCGCACAGTTTATATTTGCTGATTAGTTCTCACTTTTTTTTTTTCTTGTTTATCGGCCCTTATGGTACTGTTCTACAGAACACTAAGGAGTGTCTACAGATTAAAGAAGAGCAAAACAGACTGTTTATAAAAAACCTGGAGGAAGAAAATGAGAAATTACGTACACGCTGCACTGATCTGCTAAATGACCTGGAGAGACTGAGGAACCAGGAAGCACATTGGAGAAAAGAGAAATACAATGCTGATGCAAAAGTAAAGGTATAGGACGAGGACTGAATATATGCTACTGTTCTGGGTCTCACTTCTTCCAGGAAATTTAATACATATTTTTCTTTAAATAACAAGTTATATATTCAGATCCATCAGTGGGGAAGAGCATTAATTTATATTCTTTCACTTAAAACCCATAGCTTTTTAAATATTGATGTTGCAAAGCAGGAAACTGACTTCAAATAGTTATCCTAAAATGTAATCATTAAAAAATAAAGGCTATTGCTTTTGAAATAAAGTATGTTTTGAAAAATATACTTAGAGCCAATGGTTTGGCTTTTGTAAATGAAGGCTTACTTTTTCAAAATGGCCTAGAATTCATTACAACACAGTCTGGAGACTCCTTTCTATTTCCTTAACATTACCATGTAAAACCCCCACAAACACTTAAAAATGCACATGGTTCTATCAAAGTGCTTTCTTTGGCTTAAGGAGAAGAGTAAATTTTTATTAGAAGATAAAAGTCTTTGTAATATTCTTTATAATATAATCCCATCCATTTAAAGCATCATTTAAAAATAAAACATCATTCTCTGATATTCTCTTTGTCTTGAGGTTTTGGTTAATTTATTTTCCCATTAAATTTCGAATTTCTCTTTCATCATGCATTTTATTAAAAAGGGCAGAAACACATAAGGATAGTGAATATGGCAGTCTTTTTGTGTGTGCACACAAGGAGAGATTATCTCATGTATGCATATGTTCATCCAGAATATTTTAGTTAAGTATTTGTGTGTATGTGTATGTTTGCATGTTTGAGTAAGTGTACAGTTTTGTGTATGAATATTCATTAGTGGAGAGGGATAAATTGGAGTGTGTGTGTATCAGCTGCAGATATTTTGTAAAGTTGAACAACTTAGTGAACCAATGAGCCATTGGGGTAATTGAATCTTGATATATTTTTAAAACTTTTATTATTTTCTTCTAAAATTAAACCTTTAAAAATTTGATAGTTTTATGAGGGTAAGTAATGCTGCCTTGTGTTCATTTATAGTTACATGACTGGTTATTTTTTGTATTTTTGTGTCATTCAAATAATCCATTCTATAGTTTGCTCTTGCTTTTAGTTGGGTAACATTTCTGTATCTTGAATCTGATTAATTGGTCTTTAAAAGTTTGTGAATTGGTAAGAGTCTGTGTCTTATTTCCTTCCCTAATGTTCTTGATTTAAGAATTTTATATGATAAAATTTCATGCTCTGAAGTGTTTAATTGCTTATACCTCATCAGATTCAATCATTTATTGTGTGTATAGGTTTGTTTATAGACTTTTATTTCTTTGACTTGAGGCATTGTAGTTTTGCAATTTGAATCGATATTGGGTAGCAAAGTCAACTTCATTTTTCTGGTAAATCATGTGGCCTTTATGTATTCCCTCACTAGAATATAATATAAAGGACAATTTTGTTAGTAAGTTACATTAAGAAACAAATAGGTCCATGTTTAATTTAAAAAATAATTTTGAGAGAATTGTTATTCTACCACTCAAGAATGTAGAATATAGTATTACAGTATCCTCTAAATGCTCTTGTTCCACTCTTGTTAATTTGTGCATGGAACTCAGCCATAAAAAGTCATTAGGTAAGGAAAAAGATACTAGTTTTTTCTCCTTTATATATATTTATTTTCATTTGTCTCTGGTAATGTTATAGTGAGATTTTCTTAGATTATATAGTAACTATTTTTAAGGTTTTGAGTAAATTGCCAAGCTCTGTCCTTAATAGCTGTGTATGAGGTTTTTAATTTTTAAATAGTCTGCTTTTTTTTTTAACTGTAGTTAACCTAGTGACAGTTGTGAAATGGTATCTCATTGTATGTGTGCTTTTTGGGGTCTTTTCTTTTGTAGTAGTAGTGATCAAACCTAGTGCCATAACTAAATACTCTACTACTGAATTATATCCCCAGTTCACATTCTGAATTTAATTTGCATTTTCCTTGTGACTAATGATGTTGAGCATCTTTTCATGTGTTATTGATAATTTGCATATCTTTGGAGAACTGTCTATGCAAATGTACTGTGTATAAGTCCTTCACCAGACACAGAATTTGAAACTATTTTGTTGTTTTTTGAATGGATTTTTACTTCCTTGCTGTCTGTCTGTCTGTCTGTCTGTCTGTTTATCTATCTATCTAGTAAATAGATTAACAACAACAAAAATGGTCTTGTTATATTGTACCAGTCTGATCATTTGCTACTGAATTTATATAAGCTATACTATAAGCTTTTGTATTGTAAATAGTATATATGTGTATGTTAAATCTAAGCTATTATATATACAATATAAGATAAATTGTACCAGTCTTATCTTTTGCTACTTTGTTTATATAGACATGAGCATCAATTTTTTTTGGTTTTTCTAGATAGGGTTTCTCTGTGTAGCTTTGGAGCCTATCCTGGCACTCGCTCTGTACACCAGGCTGGCCTCGAACTCACAGAGATTTGCCTGCCTCTGCCTCCCGAGTGCTGGGATTAAAGGTGTATGCCCCCAACGCCCAGCAAGCATCATTTTAAAATACAACATTCTGTGTCATTTTCTTTGTCTTGAGGATTTTGTTCACTTTCCCATTAATTTCAGATTTCTCTTTTATCATGTATTTTTTTGGGGGGAGTACTGCTATAATTCACCTGTGAATCCTTGTGGGCCTGGACTATTCTCTTTTTAGTTGGAAGATTTTTGACTACTACTTTTTAATAGATGTTTTAAAATTGTTTCCCTCATCTTCATTTAAGTTGTCAGGTCATATGCATCTAGAAATTCATCCATTATTTTTAGTTTTTCAATTTAATGAAACGTGTTTAAGGGAAAGTTTTCATTTTTCTTTCAAGTATGACAGATAGTTTTCCTAGGGATAGTATTCTTGGTGGACAGTTGTTGTCTTTTGGGACTTGAAATATACCTCTCTAGATCCTTCTGTCTTGTAAATCTTTATTTGAATTCTGATATTCTAATGAGCTGGGCTTTATGTGAGGCTTGATTTTTTTCCTCCCTCTTTCTACTTTTAATATGCTTTCTTTGTTCCATTTAATGTTATAATTATAGTATGATGAGTTCTTTTTCTAATATTGTCTGTTTGTAATTTTGAATATTCCACATATACATTGGCATCTCCTTTCCTAAATGGGACATTTTCTGTTAGGATTACAAAAATATTTTCTATTCCTGTAGAACTAGATTTTTCTCCCTCTTCTATGCCTGTGATCCATACAATTGGCCTCTTCAGAGTGAACCGTATTTCTTGGAATTCCCATGTGAACTTTGATATTGTTTAAATTTCTTCTTGTCTGATTGTCCAGTTCCTTTGTCATGTCTTCAACTATCTTCCCTCTCCTTGAGCCATTCTATTGGTGAAACTTTACAGGGAGATTTTTATTTGACTTAAATTTTTCATTTCCATAATTTTATATTGATTTTATTTACTATTTCTCTGTGTTGGAATCCTCTTTCACATCTAGAATTCATTTCCTTATTCAATTCAGCTATTTTGTGTTCTCAACCAGGAGCTGTTTTCTTTCCCTTTTTGCCATATACTTAGTAATTCTGTATAGTTCTCTGATGTGGTTTCATTTAATACACTCTCAGTTGGTGTCATTGTGGTATTAATTTTGAGAAAGTTGTGTTGTCTTGATTTTTCATGTTTTTTATTCATTGGGGGTATTTACTTGTCTAGTTTAGTTTTTTTTTTAAAAAATCATCTGTATTCTTTTAGTTGAAGTGTTTACAATGTCAATGAGGACTTGGATTTGGTAGAGTTGAGTGTATAGTTCAGAAGATATTTCCTCATCCCAGAAGCACACAGGAGCCTTATATAAACTCTGTACTATTGCCCAAGAGAGATATTAACTATGAGAGCAGCTACAGATACTTGATATTACTACTATTCAAATTTCATATTAGACAACTGATAACCATGTGATTTCATAGATTCAATTCAGATTTTAGAGATAATTAAGGCTATGGAAAATAATACTTAAGTAAAAAGAAGAAGGGACAAGGAAGACAGAAAGAATGACAAATGATTAAGAGAATATTTGAGATTCGGCTGAAGAATATGATAGTTTTGGTATGTAGTAAAATGAGTCAAGAAAGATGAACAACATTTCTAAAATTTGACTGAACAATATACACAAAAAACCCAAAGCATGGTGAGTCATACATGCAAGAGTGGGAGTCAAAAAAATAAGAAAAGAATACTTAGTGAGTGAATTGTCGGTGCATCTGTGCTTAGTTCAGAGATGAAGTTCTCAGACACCTCTTGTTCTAGTAGGCTCTATGTGGCGCTGTATGCAGAGGTGCATGTGGGAACCACTGGTCTTTGTCGCCCCCATATTCTTGGAATTCTGTCATGTTGGAGAGAGGAGATTGTAAATCTTTCCAAGGTAGCTCCCTAGGACCCCTGCCCTCCACTCTGACGTCTTCTGGTCCTGAAGGTTTGTGTTTATAAGGAGTAACTCTTCCATAGTTTGCTTGTTTTTCCTGGGCAGCTGCAACAGGCAGGCAGACAGTCTAGAGTGGAAAACATTTCCAGGTGGATTTTGTTCCTCAGCTTTCCTTCTTGCTTCCATTCATTAATGAAATAATTTACTACAGACATGGCACTGTTTTCTCTCAGGGAGTTCAATGATGAAGCTTCTAGCCTTCCATCTTAACATCTATGGCAACTTTTGTCTCTTCCCACTGAGACTTTTATACTGTGTGTGTTGACATGCTTGAGGGTGTCCCTCTTTAGCCTCAATGATTTTTCTGTTTTCTTTTTTTCTTATTCTGATAGTTTTATGAGTTTTCTTTTGCCTGCTATGTTTGCTCTTAACCCTTCTGGTAAAATTTTCAGTTCAGTTGATTTATATATTCATTGTCAGTTAAACTATAGGTTAATTTTCAGTTCAGTATATTCTATATATATAGAACATATATATATATATATATATATATGTTCTATAGAATTTCTGGTTGCTTCTTTTTAGTAACTTCACTTTATATACTTTTGGTT